ACCTTCCTCTTTGTTTTTCCTCAAGCGTACCGCGAGCTCGGTTCACCACTGGTATTCAGTAACTCGGTCACTTTGCTAATAAATTCGCATACGCGTTATCGAATTTGCAAACTACTTTCATTCGTTTTATCGACACGTTTTTTTAACGTTTCAAAACTTTGTCAACTTTGTCTAAAATAATTTGGATGTGAAGGAATATATATATATATATATAACAATTCAATTATTTATGATAAATAAAATAACATAAAATAAAAAAAGAATTACAGAGATTTATATACATGCGTGCGACATCAAAGTTGCGTGAGCATTATAGAAGGGTTAATCTCTTCGCAGACCACACGCATGCATCAAGCTCATTTACGAGTAACGATTATTCACGCATGTATACATATGTATATACATATATATATATATATTTGTAGATCTATAGAGAATATGTAAAGGGCTAACGCACCATGACACCACCCGCAGAGGGCTCTCCAAATAATTTTAATAATAATAGGGATTTAGGTATTAAACGCAGGCCCCAAAATCCACGCGTTTTTCACATCCTATCTAAAGAACCCCTACCACTTGTGTGCATATATATATATATATATACGTGTATGTGTATCTCCCGGACATGTAACCCTTTAGCACCGCGAGAATAGCAACGATACGAGAGGACAAAAAGAGAGTTTGTTGAGTCTTCTTCGATCGTGGGAACGAGATCGTGGTTTACCAAGAAGAAAAAAAAGAAAAAAGATATACAAAAATAAAGATACGATCGATGCTTGAATTCTACTTTACGACGTTTAACTTCGTTTCGTGCCGATTAATGATCATACAAATTGTCTATTTCTAAACGAGAAATTAACCAAAAAAATATTTCCAACGTGTGTGTGTACCGTACTATATATTATAATTAAATGTATTATTATTTACTTATTGAAAAATCTGTATCAATAATTCGTAGAGTATATCGCAGTTATAATATTTAGACCGATCTTAGAAACCTTGTAAGTAAGGAATGTTGAACATCGCGACCGCCCGTCGTGTACACACATTGCACTTCGAAATGAAATGAAATGAAATACAAATAAAAATAGTAAAAGACTAATAAAAAAATGATTGGAATAGTTTAGAAATGATAAAATTGTGATCGTTAACGAGCAAACGTTGCGATCTCTCTCTTTCTCTTTCCCTTTTACTTTCTTTATTTCTTTAAAAATGAAAGCAGATGCAGGAGGATGATAAGAGGTCATAGACATTGGATCCGCTTAGCGAGAAACACACTCCTGTCATATATCGTTGTGTGTTCTGTTGTTGCTGTATAAAAAAAAAAAAAGAAAAGAAAAGAAAAGATATATATATAAAGATAAAGAGAGTATGTGATATAAAGGAAAAAGCTTGTGGAACCGCGAGAAAATAATTCGTCCCAATTGAAGCGGCCAGTTAGTGCAATTATCGTTGACGGTGTATGCGCTCCCTCGCGTTACTTGATAGTGTAATTAGTGTCGTCTAGCCGGTTGGCGTGTGAAACACGCGGCGGTAAACGCGAGCAATCGTATTAATCGTTAACTATCTTGTACGAGAGAACGGCACGCCGCGTCCAACCTTTTTCTTCCTCCTCCTTCTTCTTCTTAACTTCTTCTTCTTCTTATTCGAAGTTTCTTCCTCTTTCCTCTTATTCGCCATTACTATCGTTGCCGTCGTCGTCGTCTTCGTTCTCGTCGTCTTCGTCGTCGTCGTCGTCGTCGTTGTGGCAGCATAATAGTGACAATCGTAAAGTTAAAGCCGCGTCCAATTAATTTCTACTCTCCTGTAGCCCTTCTTACCTTCAACTTCTATCTCTATCTCTATCTCTCTCTCTCTATTTCTTTCTCGTTTTCTCACTCTCGGTCGAAAGAGTACGGAAAGAAAACGCTCGAATGGCACCCTCTACTTCTTCTTTTCATTTTTATTTTTATTTTTATTTGTATTTTTATTTTTATTCTTCTTCTTCTTCTTCTCTGTGCCGACTCCGCAAACGCGTGGAAATTAATTCGACGACGTGCGAGCCAAGTCGAAGGTGCGACACACTCGAGACCAGCCGATACTTCGAAGAAATTTATTGTACTGCCGGATCGTGAGCTCGCAGTAACATAGAACGTTGTTTGTCTTCTCTCTCTCTCTCTCTCTCTCTCTCTCTTTCTCTCATTCTTTTTCTTTCTTTATTTATCTATCTCTATTTCTCTCTCTTTCGTACAACGCCAATGAAATTTTTCCCTCAGCCTCGTCTTCTATTTTTATCATAAAAATGACTTTTCCTGAGTTACTTCTTTGAATAAACCCCATTATATAATCGAGGAAAAAAATTAAATTAAAATAAAAAAGAAAAAAAATTATCATTAGAAACATCCGGCTGCATTGACCGTGACACGATATCAACCTCGGCGATCAAATTCGTCCTTGCTTATTCGTCGTATTACGTTCTTGGCTGAGCGTGGAATTAAACGAGCGGCAAATACTAACTCAATGGGCTCTTTCGTAACTACGAAATCGGATAACTTCGGCCTATTTGCAGGTAGAAAGGACTAAATCGATAAAACCTTGACTCGCATAACTTTTCGAACGAAACTAACGACATAGAGAGGGAAAGAGAAAAATGTATATATACAAAAAAATAATATTAAAAAAATCTATAACCAAACTCTCCTCCAGCTTAAAATGAAAATACCGTGAATACGAAGAAACGAGAAAGCAAAATCGGAACCGAACTATATATATATATATACCTATTTATATTTAGATTCGAAACTAGGATCCACGTTGATCCTTTTCTCTTGATAAAAAAAAAAAAATAAAAAAAGAAAAGAGAAAGAGGGAGAGAGAGAGAGAGAGAAAGGATTGACTCTACGTGATATCTAACGGTACAATATAAAGTATATATACGTCGCGGTAACGTGACAGGAGATTCAATAAGGATACGATATGCCCAACGACGTCCAATAACTCAGGCTCTCGTTACAATGCGATCCTAACAATTACAAATAACCCTAGCACTGGCGTTCGCACGGTCGTTGATCGACGACGATATCCTCGATCGTCTTGAGTCGCTTAGTCGTTCACAAAAGGTCCTTCCTTCCTGGTAGATAATCGTTTCGTGGAAGTCGTTCGCGTCCTGAAGCTCGTGTTGCGTTGTTGTTGTTGGCAGTTGAACGAACGGTTTCGAATCTTTTTCGATCGACGAAAAAAAAGATAAAAAGACGGAGACAGAGAAAGAGGGTGGAGGAGGCAGAGAGAGGAAGGTGGAAAGTAGGGGAGGGGATGAAATAATATAATAATAATAAAGTAATAATAATAATAATAAAAAAAAAATACTTAATATAAAATACATGGGGAGGAACTTATAATGACTTTAAGCGAACAACTGAACGAAGATGAGGGTGACGACGAAATGGCGAAGAATCGAAAGACGATCGGACAAGCTCATGTAATGGGCCATCGGCTTCGTATTTTTCGTCGATTATAACCCAATCAACGAGCCAAGCTGCGAAAGTAGTGGTGGACGAAGGCTAATATGGAGCGGGATTGCAGCTGGCCGTACGGTTTGCGCAATGCAGGATGCACTAATATGGTTTCGCGAGCTCCGATAGAAAGCGAGATACATACGTTATGAGCCCGTCGTCGCTTACTTTGCATACGCGTTGTGTACGCGCCGAGAGCAAAAATCTTTCGTTCTTATATTATATAAAGAGAGAGAAAGAAAGAAAGAAAGAAAGAAAGAAAGAGAGAGAGAGAGAGAGAAAGAGAGAGAATGGGTTTCGGGTTAACGGGCGTAGTTATTTCCACGCAACTTTTTCCTTTGTTTCCTTTTTTGTTCTTTTTTCTTTTTATCCGATATCAAACTCGTACGATTCCCCGTTATATCTCGATTTAAAAAACTTGTATAATAATCGAACGCGAACAAACGCAATGTATAATATACATATATCGCGCGTTGTTGAAAAATATTGTGTCGTTTATAAAAGAGAACTGCTTTTCCTTCCAATCCAATCCTTCCCTTTTGTAAATGCTTTTCATTTACCAGTTAGACAAACGTAAACACGATTCCTACAGTTATTAACACGACGATATAGTCATTCTCCGAGAAAGTTGTCGAACGTTGTAACGATTTATTTCATTCTCCGATTCATTTGCGCTAGACGTTTCGAAGGACGAAAAATGAATTTCCATTAGAAGACATAGAAGTGAGAGTTAGTCGTATCGTATCGTCTCGTCTCGTCTCGTCTCGTCTCATCCGTGTAATTACACCTGTCGCGAGAGACGATGAAAGAAAAGGTCGTCGTCGGTGTTGCGACAAAGTGACAACGGGAAACATCGACTTCGAAGACGAAGACGAAGACGACGACGACGACGACGATGGCGCGATGCTTTCCTTCCACTTGGACGCTTTCGTTCAAGTCAACGGCCCTAAACTACAGGCGGAAGGGGCGGAAACGTCGAGCTGCACATAAATAAGTGCCTGGAAACCACAATGCCTTCTCAGAGACGTCGCGTGTGGGCAGACGAAGCGGTACAGACGCCTCTCTCTCTCTTTCTCTTTCTTTCTTTCTTTCTTTCTTTCTTTCTTTCATCTTCGACCTGAAAATCAATGTGAAACAATTTGACCGAAGACCTTTCGCGTGACATACCGTAAATCTCTGGTACGTCGAAGAAATCATTTTTACCTCTGTACTCTCTTCTTGTTCTTCTCTGCAACACTGATCTACGCTTGGACTCGTGTTCAAAAATAAGAGACAAACTAGAAAATCTATAAATTTGATATCTAATTATATATATACTTTATATATAGATATATAAAATAAGAGAGAAAGATTTCTCGATTTACAATTATTCTGTGTGAAAAGAAAAAAAAACAGACGAATAATCGGGAGAAACTTTAGTCAATGATAATCGTTGAGAAATAAAATGGATAAAAATAGTAAGATGAAGAAAAATCACGCAATGGTTTGAATTCAAGTTTTTATTTATTTCTTATTTTATATTTCTTTATTTTTCTCTTTTTTTCTTTTTTTTCTGCCCTTACTCGATCGAGCATGAACGTATTTATACTTGAAATATTATGCTCGATGTCGTTTTAACACACGTGCCATGTCGATTACCGGTATTCCAACGACGATTATTTCCTGCGAATGTACTTGAAAGATCGTAAACGCTCTCACTCTCACCCAAGAGAAACGCTGAGGATATCGCTCGGTGATTAAACGATCATCGAATTACAGAGTTATGGAAGCAAGCACCAAGACGATTATAAGATTGACGATTGTAATAGAAATTCTCGGATGAGACTCGTTAAAAGCAAAAGCCTTATTTCTTTCGTGGAAACGACCTTACCTTTTACTTCCTGTATCCTTTTAGTAACACTACTCTTTTACATCCTTGAAAATTATTCTCTGCTTAAACTGCAACGCGTATAGTGTTCAACCATGATGAGAATTTCTAGGAAAATCAGATATAAATAGACGATACATAGAAATCGAACAATTTTATTCTTTTTTAAATCGTATTACTTTAAAATTTCAATATCGTTGTAAACTTTTAGATACTTTATTTCCAAATACGAATCTAAGCATGTATAAGTTTCATTATTATTTTTTTAATTTAATAGCATTTATATAATATTAAAAAAGTGTAAGAAAAAACTATTTAAGTAAAAATTGTTTCCTGTCAAGGAATGAGTTATGTTATGGGAACATTTTTTTCCCACAGATGTTTTTTTAATACAATATATTAATATTTTACTATAAATACTGATCATTTATTTAAAATACTGGTTATTAAAAAAGTTAAAAAATCCTAATTAGATAAATACCAAGTAAAAATATTTGTGTTTACGAAGTAATAATAATATATATTTATAAAATAGTTTTGAAAATCATCTAAAGTTTACAATTTTTCCAAGTACTTAAATATATATATATATACATCTTAATAATTACGTTAATACTCAATAAATTTCTCTTCTTATTTCTACCATAAAAGTCGAAGCTCTTTTTAGAAAGCTACGTTACAGAAGCGTGATGCTTGCTATCGTTTAACCAAGAACGCTTCATTCATACTTTTACGGGCCATTTACGGTCGCTTTACGTCGGCGTATCGGTCTTATCAGCACTTCTGTACCGCCTACGATTTTAAATGTGCCTCGACGATGCTAGAACTAGAAGAAGAAAAAGAAGGAAAGATAGTGCACTGCAGGAAGTATATATTTACTTACTACCTGCAGTGAACAAACTCGTCTCTAAACTCATACTATTCTCAATGAGAATTTAATAACGATCATCTTTGAAATCGATCCATTGCCACATCCTTCTCAAACGATAATATTTTATACGGACTCCCCTAGACGATTCTTAGTACGTTGTTATTAGATCATAAATGCCATTCACAAGTAACGTATACAATTGATCTTTAAACAACGATTAGAAACGTAATTAGGAGCTACTGTAAGGGTAACAATGATGAAAAAATAAATGATGAAATACGCATGTATTTAACACGTTGAATGCAACGATAATTGCATATTCCTTATTCGTAGCATTAACACGAATTTATTATTATGTGTTACATATTATGTTGAAATATTATTAAGAACAGATAAGTTAAAGTGTTTTATCATGTGCAACGACGCATTTATCTTACTGGAGGGTCACCGGTGACCTCCGTTGCATTCAACGTTTTAAATATATAAAATATATATATATATATATAAATAAACAATAGAATGCAATATAAACAAACCTTTTTTACGAAGTAGACAAAAGACCTTTTTCTTATCCTTATAAACATTCGGAGAGTCTACTGCTTCGTCTGTAAATACAACAAATTTATAATAAATAACACAAATTTATCGATAGGTTAAAATTACAAATATTACATATATCCCGTTAATAAGATTTCTAATTTGATATTAATTATAACTTACTAAGTATTAAAACGTTGATAATATTTTAATGAAATGTACTGGAGAATTATTAAAAGTAAAAGTCTACTATTAATTTGAAATAAAGCATAGAAAAAGAATGAAAAGATCTTTTTCAAATAGTCACAGTATCGATATACTATCGACGCGACCTCTGCCAGATGTTCTTCGAGACTCTTCCTTTTTATGTTGAAAAACTAAAATCCGTTATTTGCCTTTAACCTGAGAAAGCTATAATTTTTGTTAAAACAAAGTCATTAATATCCATGATCGACAGACTAAAAGATTGGTTGAAAGAACTTTACCATTAATCAAGTATAAATTTCACATAAACGAAAGAACGAATCGAATGATGATTCTGTTCGTTTTAAGTCGGACAGCTCTCAAGGCCCGCGAACATTCAGGATTTATCCATAAGCTTTTTTTACATCTTCTATGAAACATCGTAAAATCATGTGGCCGACCCATTAACGTTTTACGATCACTGCTACGTATGGTAGAGGGTTTCTCCTCTCGATAACTCTTTTCGTGGAATCTTTGCGATGTTAACTGAACGTTCGCGATAAAGTATGTCGAACGTGAAAAGAAAAACGAAACTATTATTTTGTTTTATTTCGAAGAAGTAACTTCAAACTTATTTAACGTAATTAAATCAACTTTTACGACACTTTCGCGAAATATAATAACTCGTAGATCGTAAGACCTATCGATACTCTCAAATTATACTGATCGATAATTATTTGAAATTATTTTAAATTTGTTTTGATTGGTCAATTTCATTGGTCAATTTCATTGGTCAATTTCATTAGTAAATTTCATTGGTTAATTTCATTGATCAATATGTCTTTAAATACAGCGATCTTCATATAATAAGCCTAGGAACACATATTAATTTTGATATAATAAACCAATCGCAATTAATATTAAGCCAATGACCGACATGAAACAAAAAAATACAAAATTAGTTCAATTTAATAGACACCTTTAGGTAACTCATCTATAAAAAAAGTACAATTCGCATATGTTTTTTGTTTACTTTTGTTACTATTGCTGTTGTTATTAATAGTTTCTATAAGCTAGTCACGTACCTGCATCGTTACTTGATTTCTTTATTCGAAAATGCGTTTTCTGTTTAATTTTTATAAGAAAAATAGTCCATTAAACTTATAATACAATTAAATAAAAATAAAATAAATGGCTAAATATATAAATAAACATTTGTATTTGTGTAGAATCATAAAGTAGAATATAAAATATCGGATTATAAATTTTGTATACATTTTTGATATTTTTTATCACGTCTTACCGTTCTGTAGGGAACCAGTACCATATGTGCGATCCCAATTAACATAGATGGCTAAATCTGATTGAGAAACACTAGGACGTACATTTTGTAAAGCTTCTTTAAAATCCTGAAGTGTAACTGGTGTTATCTCATCGGATGGTATCTCTTGTAACACATTATATGGAATACATCTGATTGGTCCCATACTAGCTTCCGTACATAAAGTTTTCATATCAGCACCTGAATAACCTTCTGCTTGTTGAGCGATATCAGTAATATCTTGTTCTGTGACATTGTGTTTTACCGATGATAATAAATTGCATATAATTTGTTTTCGTGCTTGCAACTCTGGTAATGGAATATAGAGCCTTTTAACAAGACGACGACGCGCTGCTTCATCTAATTCTTGTGGTCTATTTGTTGCACCTACGATTAAAATGCGATCATCTTCTGAAGTTGCTGCCCCATCCAGTTGTACTAAAAATTCAGTTTTAAGTCTTCTCGAACTTTCATGCTCGGTTTCTGATCTTTGAGAAAGCAAAGAGTCTATTTCATCTATAAAAACAACTGACGGTTGATTGACTCTAGCAACAGCAAATAATGCTCTAACCATTTTTTCTCCTTCCCCTATCCACTTTGAAGTCAAGGAACTTGCTGATATAGAAAAAAATGTTGATTTACTCTGCACTGCGATACATCTTCCAATCAATGTTTTCCCTGTACCAGGAGGTCCAAATAATAAAATTCCTCTTGGTGGCCTACGTAGGCCGGTGAAAATGTCAGGCCTCAACATAGGAAATACAATGACTTCTTGAATAATTTTCTTAGCATATTCAAGTCCTGCTATGTCATCCCAAGAAACTGATGTTCGTAAGTCCATGATTTCATTTTTTATTAACTCTATCAACTTCGGATCAATGTTTTTCATCCTTTCATCTTCTACATCTGCTGAAACACCTTCATTTTCTTTTTTACTGTTTTGATACTGCATTACTTTATCTTCCTCACGTTTTAAAGGACATACAAATGGAGATTTAACTGAAGATTTACCACCTAATGTCTTCTTTTGTGCTGGCCTATTCTTTGAATTTTGTTGAATATTTAATTCATCTCTGGCAGTTTTGAATAAAGAAACCCCATTTCTTAAGCTTGGTAATTCCTTTTTATTACACTAATAAAACAAAAAACAAAACAAAAATTATAGATTTGAATAAATTTGTATTGATTTTAAATAATATTTATAACTTACTTCTATGAATTTCATTTCGTTACTTATGGAACTTTTATTAGCATGAGATATTTTATTATCATTTGTTTTAATTGTTTCAAATTGAGGGCGTCTTTGTATATTACATTTCCTCTTTCTTGTATCTTGTGTCTTCCACATATCAACAATATCTTTAATATGTCCATCATTAATTACCTTTTCTTTGCATGCTGCAGTATTTTCATCTTGACATGGTAAACATTCTATGAAATCAATTGCTGTTTGTACATCGTTTAATTCTGATTTCCATTGTGAAGGATCATTAACAGTTTCAACAATGTTATTTTCAATCGAATTCCAATAAACTCCGCTCTTTTCTATTTGATATTGAAATTCTTTTAAGCCTTTTTCTAGCAAACACATCGCTGCATCCTCAAAGCCTCTGTAATTTACTAATTTTTCAAGTAATAGGATAAATTAAGAAATAAAGAAAATTAAAATTTTTAAAGAAAATATACTCACGATCTTTTTGCTGCTAAATATTTCACACCAAGACAACGACGTTCAACGTTTAAAACTCTAAATAGATCTTGATCTAACTTAGAAAACTTTAATTCTTGAAAAGCTGCTAAGAAATTATTATATTCTTTAGTACTTTCCTTTGTATTATAAAAAGCCATAATTTTAGTAATAAATAAAAAATTGCCGTGCCTTAAGCTGTCTTACTCCTAACTGTATCTCCATCTAGCGGTGGACTTAAGAATAAGCCGTCCAATAATACTGTATCTCCATCTATCGGTAGACTTAAGAACTAGCCGTCCAATAATACTGTGTCTCCACCTATCGGCGGACTTCAGAAATAACCGTCCAATAATACTGTGCTACCATCTATCGGTGCACTTAAGAACTAGCTGTCGAATACTACTGTGCCTCCATCTGTTGGGGGACGTACGAACTGCTTACAGCTGTTAATTGAGAA